TGGATACGGCCTAAACATATCCAAAATATCATGAGTATCAATTTTTGGATGACCAAAGTCCATTATTCCATGTACCTGCAGTTCAAATTTGAAATATCCCAAAAAATTCGACGAAACGAAATAAACTAATGAAATATATCAAAAAAAGTCAAAATTGCCCCAAATTTTAAAATAGAGTTTGAAATACTGTCACAAGGCCCCAGAAAAAAATTTGGGCCCAAAATCAAAAAAAAAATAGTAAAGTGGGCTTTGCCGAGTGCCGGCCCAGGGGGCACTCGGCAAAGTTGATTTTCAAAAATAATAAAAAAAATTTGCCGAGTGCCCAAGGCTTACACTCGGCAAAATATATTTTTAAAAAATAAAAAAATAATTGCCGAGTGCTTTGGTCTGGCTCTCGGCAAAATAAGTTTTAAAAAATAAAAAAAAATTTGCCAAGTGCATGGGCTGGCACTCGGCAAAATATGTTTTTAAAAAATAAAAAAAAATTGCCTAGTGCCTGGGCCTGACACTCAGCAAAATAAGTTTAAAAAAAAAATTGTCAAGTGCCATCTGTTAGGCACTCAGCAAAATCTGACGGCAGGTGGCCGCCGTCACGGGCCGGCCACCTTTTGCCGAGTGCCGCGGCACTCGGCAAAGCCCAGCTTTGCCGAGAGAGTGCCCCGATAAAAAATACTCGGTAAAGTCTCAGGCACTCGGCAAAGTACAGTTTTCCAGTAGTGGATCAACTGTCACGCCTCCTTGCTAAAAGATCTTCAGTTCCAGCTCTACCGTTCATCTGAATCCTTGGCTGTCGTGAGGCCTTGAATTTCTCAAGCCGATTATGTTGAGCTCCAGCTTCTGCAGCTCGTGCTGGTGCTGGTGTGCCTCCTCTGTCTTTGCCTACCCGGGTCATCAAGAAACACGAACTCCAGTTGCAGCTAGTGCTTCTGTCTTTGCCTGCCGGGTTGCATAATCTTGGAACTGGTACAGACCGGAGGGCAATGGACAGCATGTCCTGATCCTTCTCCCTCTGGGACTGGGACCCTTCGAACGTGGGCATGCTCCGAACGGTGTACGTGTTTGGTGCGTGGTTGGGCCATTCATGTTGCATCTCCTAGAACAGGTCTCCAGCGCTGCGAGGTGGTCCCTGTTGCCTGCAAGTGCATAGTCGCATAGACATTAGTGTTCTAGAACATGGGTTTGCAACTGGCCCGACATCTGCCAGGCGGCGGCTCTCCCCTCAAACACGTGCTCATTGACCATCGTATGCGTTGAGCATCTAGATTGTTGGGGTTTCATCTTTCACGTCACATGGTAGTATCCGGTTCCATTCTTAACTTGTTTTTGGAGGAAATATTATGAATAGTATGGCACAAATGTGTATGTGATTCATGTGTGTATTTTTTGGTGGCCAGCTTGTCACATTAATCACAACCGGATTGAGATTGCTCATTCATTGTATAAAGACTTGTGATGTTTAATGTATTGATGTAACTCTTTTACTAGTTACTATAGTATACTTGGCCAAATGGGCCACGGCACTAAAAAGCACAGCCCAGGCACGACCCGGCTAGCTAGGCTCCTGTCGTGCCCGTGCCTGGCACGGCCCGGTCGTAGTGCCGTGCCTGGGCCGCAAGTTCGCCCATAGTGCCGGGCCAGGCACGGCACGGTTAATGGGCGGCACTATGCTGGCCCGGTATATGCCAGTCGTTGGATGTTCTAAGGTGAACTTGAGCCGTTGGATGTTCCTAGCCATATATAAAATTCAAACCCTAAATCCTTTCTCAGTGTCTCCCTTCTCTCCCATCCCAAATTCCCATCTCCTCCTCTGGCACAGGCAGAGGCGGCGGCTTGGCCCCATGCCAGCGCGCATGTCGGAGGTGGTGGCGCGGCGCGGCCCCATGCGGGAGCTCACAGTGGAGGCGCCGGGGTGGCCAGGCCTTGCGCGCGCGTCGCGTGCGGCAGAGGCTACGTGGTGCGGCCTTGCGCAGGCGCGCGCGCTCGACGGAGGTGGTGCGGGCGCGTGGCCTTGCACGGCAGTTGTGCGCCATGGCCCCGGCCTCCCGTGACGACGACGGCGCGACACGTGGCTCCAGTCTCCTGTGCGACGACGACGGAGTGGCGTGCGGCTTCGAGCTGGCATGGGATGGCACGGTGGACCGGCGTGCCCATCGGCACGGCACGGCACGGCACGGCACGGCTGAGTCCTCATAGGGATGTGCCTGGGCTCAGGTTGGGCACGGCGGCACTATAAGGCATGGCTGAGCTGCCGTGCTGTGCCTCGCCGTGCTCATGCCAGTGCCGTGCCGGGTGGCCGGTTGGCCAAATATAGTTACTAGATGATACCCCGCGCATTGCTACAGAAATATTGTAACATTGTATAGATTGTTGAATAACATTTAAATATTAAATTTTGAAAAAGAACGAATGAAATAAAACAAAATGAGAGGGAATGATAGAACTGGTTTATCGTAGGCAACGTATCAGGTGTAAATCAACCAACCTGTGTAAACTTGAAAACTACCAATCAGGATCACTAGATGCTGATCCAATGAATGGGGTAAGAGGTGGGATTTTTTTCGCTTAAGCCCCCCACGTGCCGACCTTTTTTTACGCTTAAGCCCCCTCACCCTATCTATGGAATCAACATCTAGTGGTCCTGATCGATAGTTTCTAAGTTTGCACATGTTAGTTGATGTTAGTTGGTGCCTCGCTTGTCTCGGTCCTTTCAGCAACGTTCTCTTCCCTTCCTTTCGTGAGGAGAGAAACACGAAATAATGAAAGAAAGAAAACAGGATAGCTGGCCCATCAACTCAACCCACGTACGCACACCCCTTGGTCGTCTTCGGCCTTCTCACGACGCCTTTGAACATCTCACGGATATCTTGCCCAAAAGTTATCGATTCTCCGATCCCTACCCGATCTGGCGAGGAGGCATTCGATGCGGCAGCGGGCTCCTGCATCCGCTGGTGGGGAGGAAGGGCACCAAGGCGTCCTGTGGCGGCGGCCAGACAGGCTCCTTGACGGTGCTCGCGCTTAGCGGGCGGACGACATCATGGATCCGGCTGCAGCAGGCTCCTGGACGCATCCAAGCGGCCAACATCCAGCATCCGCCTGCAGCAAGAGGCGGCGCCGACGCAGGCACTGGGCTCGCCGTGCACTGCATCCCCGTGGTATTCCCCTGCGCCCTCCTGCTCTGGCTCTTCCATCTCCTAGGAGCACTGCGACTGCAAGGTGCGTTCAAGTTTAATAGCCGCGGATGGGAAGGGGAAGTGGTGGAGACAGAGAGGGAATCCATGAACGGCTGTTCAGTTCGTGCACCAAAAACGGAGGGGCGTCTGCTTAGTGATTCATGGTTAACTACCGGACTCCTTGAGTTTGCCGAGTGCCCGAAACACTCGGCAAAAGACATAAAACACTCGGTAAATGGTTCGCCGAGTGTAACACTCGGTGAACAGCACTCGCCAAAAACAGTGAACAAATTTATTTTCACTTTGTCGTATGAAGAAAAGACCAAAACAAACATTGTACATCTTGATGAGTTATACAACTTTGTAGTTGAAAACTTTTTCATTTGAATTAATTTACTGCTTCAAAATGTGCTTTGAAATTTTCTTTGCCGAGTGTAAAAAAAATAACACTCGGCAAAGAAGCTCTTTGCCGAGTGTCAAAAAAAACACTCGGCAAAGAGTCTCTTTGCCGAGTGTTAAAAAAAACACTCGGCAAAGGCGTCTTTGCCGAGTGCCCGAAAAACAACACTCGGCAAACCACCTGGCACTCGGCAAAGAGCCGGTCTCCGGTAGTGGTTGTGGGCCTCTTGGATGACGTGGCTTCATGAAATCGCAGACAAATCTGCTAGTGGGGGGTCTCCTATTTAGGTATAGTAGATAGTAGATTAGAAGTAGTAGCATATATAGTTCTTCATAATGAAGCACTCAAGCATGATGTCTCAAAGTACTGGAAACTTGACAATGGAGATCACCATGAGAAAGTCCATACTATGTCACATTTAATGAGCTTACCCTGTGATGTTTTTATTTTCATGTCATACTATTCTTTCATGGTTTATATATGGTAGAATGCCTTCCCTTAGAAAAATTAAAACTTATTATTATTTTTATTCCTTCCAATTGCTGCATCTACAAGGATTTGAGGCATTCTAAGTAGCCTTGCTGACCTTACAACAACCCTAAATGCATCAGCCCCGACACGGTCCCTCTCCCATGCCGGTGATTGTAGGTTTTCTTGCAAATCCGAAGATACCAGATGGTCCAGTTTTCATGAGCTCGTTGCGAGCTCAGCGACCTGCGATCCGCATTTTCGAGCACTTTGGTGTGTGGCCATGTTTTGCGCCAACATTATTATTCTTGGCATTGTAACCGTATTGTCATCTACAAGTCCACACTCCACACATGCAAGCAGCAACCTTGTGCTATCAACTAATTCAATTCATCAGTGTTGTGCATCTCATAACACACAAGTTTCATTGACTGCAACCTTATGTGGCACAGTTAATTAACTTTGGAGTAAAATCCAGTTCCTCCCATTCAGATGTACTATCTATGGAACCATAGATATTTTAGAAAAATGCAAAAAGGGAAAGTAGAAAATTAAAAGGAAGTTCAAGTTCAAGTCATTTGTTTGAACACACTTGACATGTAAACTCTTCCTACTATTGTAACTTATCTTTCTCACACTGAGGATTTTTCCCTGTCCATGTTAGATCTAAGCATCATATTCTTTTAAATGTCATATCTTTTCCATGTTTTGTTGCTTACAATATAGCTTTTTTCTTCAGATAATGAAGGCACCATCATCAAAAGTGTAACCAATGGACAATCAATTTTTTCAATAGAAGATTATGTGATAACTCATTTTGCACCAAGGAGTACAGCATAATAGCGGACCGGCATGATGGCACAATATAATGTAAAGACAGATAGCTTGAGATGACAATAGTTACTTGCAAATTAATAGATAACTAAGGTAGCTGTTGGCATGAGGTGATTCATGATAAATCTCTACATCTCTTTGTAGTGCAGCTGCTGCAGTCCTGCATCTGCAGGATGATACACATCATCATCTTTATGAAATTTGAGTACGGCTCCTACGATCGGATACTGCGTAGTTCTCTTCTTCCTGGGCTTAGCTTTCCCCAGAATCTGCAAATATGGCAGATCAAGTGGCCTAACTTGTTACAAGACATATCATTAATGACAATAATACTATGTGGAAGTAGGGTCAAAAGTTTGAATGCCTATTATGATGAAGAGAACAGACCGTTAAATGCTGACCTTCTTAAATTTTGCTGTCACCTTGCTGGCCAGTGTGGTCCTATTTTGTGATATGTACTCCCTCGGTTCTTGAGAAGCCAAAGTTTCCATTTTGTCCGCCTGTCAATGAACAAAATCATAGCAATCAAGTAAACTGCCTCTAGATTTTCTCTAACCCATGCTGGAAAGAATACAAATGAGGTTCGTTATCTCAAATGTTTCGACTTAGCACGTCAACGCTACTTGCAAAAATGGAATGCAAATTATGTAAATGTAACGCATCAAGGACCGTTTCAGCGATGCCACTTACCGTGGAGTTGGTTTCCTCTGCTTCTTTCCTTGTTGCATTTAGGTCTTCACTGGCAGCATCCTTCTTGGACGTACCATCTTGTTCCATATCCATGTACGTAAGTGACCAAAAACTAGTATTGTTTTGAATGTAGGGCTTGTTGCTTTGCAAAAACTGTAGGCTTGGTTAGGCCTATTTATAGGCCAAATGGCTCTTGAAAAGCATTACCTTTCTTGAAGTATATATTTTGCATGAAAAAAAAACCGTGGTACCTATCATTACTTGTGGTTGCCCCTAATAATGTCATCAGTTTCTTCAGTTGCTATTCAGGTTTTCCGGAAGCAGTTGATACTTGATACTTTTGAATAGGAGGTTCACATGGATTTCTTCGGCCAGATCTCATCTTATAGAATCCTGTTTTCTTTAATATGGTCTTTTTTCCGTAGTTTAAGGAGAAAAGGTGCACATAGTTTTCTTCTAAGCAGTTACTTTTACTGGCTGTTTTCAGTTACTCCCTTTCCTGTCCTGAATTTCTGCACCTTTGTCTTGTGAAGCGTTGTTGCTTCTTAAGACCTGAATTACTGGCACTGAGCTGGTTGCCAGTTCGGTTCCTTCTCTGTTGGTAAAATCTTGTTTTTGTCAAATAAGGGTTGCTTTATATCATGTGGGTGTCCCTAATAACATCATTCTCTACTTCTAATCAGCCAAGAGTTTCAACATAGTTTTTATTACAAATTTTCATGTACCATTGTTTGTGGAGTAGTGTATGACTTGTTTTCTGGCCCACTTTTGCTCTTTTTTACTTTGGAACGGGGGGGTATGAGGCCAGCTTTAGTTATTATTGTCTTGTGTTGTCAAATAAAAGGGAAAAACATGTCTGCTAGAAAAAATGCATTTGTTTGAAGGTTTCCAAGAGCAAAATTGAAGTCTCTTTCTTGAAACAGAAACACGTACGATGTTTCCTGTTCTGTCAGCCAGTCTATTACAAATGTTCACTGCCTGTGTCTAGTGCCATTTCTTTCATGAACTACAAGTTTCAAGCATCAAATTGTTTGTTTAGGCAATCATAACATGAGTATGCTCTTGATGACATTTTAGCATCCTCATATCCTCTCTATGACATTTTAGCACAGCCTCACTAGCGTGCAATCCATATATTAGCAAGATTAAATTATGGTAATATATGCTGAGCCTTGTGCACCTTTGCCATAGATCCTGGATAGGTTTCAAAAACAAGAAAGAACAAAATTAAAGGGTTGGAACGTAAATAAATGGCAATAAAGATAAAGCATATTTCTCTTTCCCTCAACAAAACCAAAATTTTAATTTCTTATGTAAAACAAACAAAGGCGAGACATGCAAAAACAAGGCATTGCAAACCAGCACCTAACAACTGCAATCATGGTCCTGCATGAGTAAAGAAAATGTTCTTGGTGTTCAATATGATTAAAATAAACATAAAGCAAAATGCCTAGTGTATGCGAATTTAAATGTGGCTAAGTGTAGAAATAAATCTTTAAACTAAAGGGTTATATATTGAGAAATAGAAAAATAAACTGAGGCAAAATGAATAGTGGTGTGTCTATAGGCACCACACTACTATAGAAATCTTTTCTAAAGACAACTCTGATTTCTAGTGGAGGGGAATGGCATAAAAACCGCCTGTAACAGGGTGGGGAGCACTATAGCTTGAAAACCGCCCCAGGAAAACAAATTTCAGCTCCATTTTTATCGGTGCTTGCCATAAGAGAACCACTCCATGAAAATAGGATTTCAGGGGCACTACCGGAATCTTTAAATTTGCCGAGTGTTTTTATGTTTGCTGAGTGTATTCCCTCGGGCACTCGGCGAACAAGTTCGTTGCCGAGTGCCGCTCTAAAAACACTTGGCAAACAGGACGTTTTGCTGAGTCTCAAAACAAAAACACTCGGCAAATAGGTTGTTTGCCGAGTGTTAAAAAATATACTCGACAAACAAAAATAAAACCTTTTTCTGAAAAAGAAAGAGAAGAAAAAAAATGAAAAAAAAACTTTGCCGAGTGCTCAGATCTAAAACACTCAAAAAAAAAGTAGAAGAAAAAAATTAAAAAAAACTTTGCCGAGTGCCCCATCTGGGACACTCGGCAAACAACAAAAATATCTACTAACCGCGTCCAGCACCCCACCCGCCCTCCCATCCCCACCCCTTCTCTCTCCTCCCGCCCCCAGCGCCCCCTCCCCTTCTCCGCGCATGCGCACGCGCCGCCCCCTCCTCCCTCCCTGCCCCCCCCCTCCTCTCCTTCTCTCTCTTCCCCGTGCGCTGCCCGCCCTCCCCTCCCTCCCTGCTGGCTGGCTGCCTGCCCTCCCCTCCCCGCCATGCGCGCCTGCCCTCCCCTCCTCCCTCCGGCGGGCAGCCCGCCCCTCCCCTCCTCCCGGCCAGAGAGCCCCCCTCCCTCCCTCTCCCAGAGATCTAGTTGTGCCGCGCCTCCCCTCCCTCCTCTCTCTGGAGATCTGGCGCCGCCGCCCTCCTCTCCCTCTCTTCCCACCACGGCGCGCCTCCCCTCCCTCCTCTCTCTCTCCCTAGCGGAGGATCCGACGCCCCCCCTCCTCTCCCTCTCTTCCCCGTGGGCGGATACTGGCTGGCCCCCCTCTCTCTCCTCTCTTCCCGGATCCCGTGCGGCCCCCTCCTCTCCCTCTCTTCCCCGGCGGCGGATCCGGCGCGGCCGCGCCCTCCTCTCCCTCTCTTCCCGGTGTGGCGGGTGGTGGCGTGGTGGTGGTGGGCCGCGGTGGCGTGGTGGTGGTGGCTCGTGGCGGCGGCCGTGAAGCCGGGGAGCGGAGGCGAGACGCAGGGGAAGGGCGCCGCCGAGGAGACCGACGGCGGATGGCGGAGACCGGCCGGTGGTGGTTTTTTATTTTCAAAAAAATGTTTGTGATGGCTTTTTTTTATTTTTTGAAAAAAATATTTGCCGAGTGTATTTTGGGCATTCAGCAAAGTCTTTGCCGAGTGTCCGACAAAAAACACTCGGCAAACTAGCGTTTGTCGATAACCAGTTTACCGAGTGTTGTTCATTTGCCGAGTATTTTTGTGGCTTCGCCGAGTGCCCTTGGCACTCAGCAAAGCTCCTGAATCCGTAGTGGGGTGGTAGTATTAACCAAACCACCTCTAGAGAAAATGATTTTCAGGTCTGGTGTTGTTATGAGAACCATGTCTTGAATTGATTAAATGGGGTGGTTCCCTTAGAAAGCCGATCATAAAAAGAACTCCCTACAAATACCCTTCATCCTCCTCGATCGTGACTGTAGCAGGTCATGCACAACTGTAGCTATTCATGTCATTGCTGAGTTCACTTGGAGGCAAGAAATTGCAATATTAGAGATGGGAGGTTTTGCCCTTTGAATCTCTGAAGGAGTTGGGTTTAATAGGTAAGTTTATGCCATCCCTAATGTCTTTTCAAAGATTACTTACATTTCTTTCACTAATTTTTGTCCAAGAATGAAAATAGAGGCATTTGATTTGTCCAAGAATCGCCTTGATTTGATCAATCCAAACAGATTTTCATATATATATAATGTTTTAATAGATGTGATTAATGGAATTCTGGCAGGTGTTAGGGCGCTGCCTTGAGACCTGCAGGAGTGGCTCCCACTCAAGCCCCCGCTCAGTGACCATTGTTGACACTAGATATTACAAACAAATAAATCCACAAACGCACGAATGTTAATGTAGCTTTCACCCGGGAGTATTCCAAGGTATGGAATTTCCACGGGAACGCGAAGTGGACTAGTTAAGAACTAAGAGTGTCCAAGGGTAAAAGTAATAGGTAGAGATGATATCTGTGGTTTCTATGAACTAATGCAAGACAAAAGAAGATTATATCATGGTTGTTTACTTCGGGGCATAGCCCGCCTCACAACCAGGAGGGATAACTAGACAAGGTTTGCCGCGAGCCCTACGATTTAATAACTAGACCTATCGTGGTGGAATACAGAAGATGAACAGGGCTGTCACCACCTGCCACCTACCACAATCTATCTGGAGGCCTAGCCGTAAACACAGGTAAGCTATAGCCTAGGTACCACGCTTAATCTATAAACTTACTATTCTAGTCCTACGTACGGTGGAACAAGATCAGAGCACTCTAACCAAGCGGTGAAATCAGTAAACACAATAATATAAATAATACTTAAGTAGTGCAAAAGAGCATAGTTACCACAGAAGATGTCGGACGTCACTCGAAGAAGAGCTTCATCTGCCGAGGCACAAGTGGAGAGGATGTCGCCCGGCTCCTCCCCAAGCTTCTCCTCACTCTCTTCCTATCTTCTACTTCTAAGTAGTAGAGCTACAGAGCTTTGCCTAGCTACTACTCTCATTTGGTGTAACACCCGTGTTTTTGCATCATGATAAAATCCACTAAAATTTTGAACTTTTTAAAACTTTACAGCAAATTTAAACCTTGCCTATTTATTTTCCGCAAAACCATTTTGAAAATACTTTCCAAAACCTTTGCATCAAAACTCAGCATATGCATTTAGGTTAGAATATTGGAATGACTTGAATGCTTGCATGATTGCTATTGCTTGAGTGTATGAATGCTTGTGAATGCTTGCTTGATTGCGTGATTGATTGCTTTTCTGGAATTTATATGCGGCACCAAAATAACTTCCCTTAAATTCCAATGTCATTCTTGAATTATTAAAACCTTTCTTTATATTATAGAAGTACATAATGCATCATAAGTATATATGATATTTTGTTATCTTCTTGATCATAATAGCCATCGCATTGATAAATTATAGGTTTAATTATTCCTTCTAATATTCCCTTCTAAATTCACATTTAGTTAATTTATGGTTATATATATAGGGAAATCTAGAAATATGAAATCATTACTTTTAATCATGGCTATAAAGAAATATATAGTATCTAGGAAATAGATCATATTAATGCTTGCATACTTAGAAATAGCCATGAATACTAGTATTACGTTCCTTACTTTTCAATAATTAGCAATACATCAATAGCTACATTTCTGGGAATAAGAAAATGGGAAACAATTCTATGTACTCTCTCCCGAATGGGCCCAGCCCAGCACCAGCCCTGGCCCAACCCGCCTCCCTTCCCCTCTCCTCCGCCTC